CCAAGGAGATGGTGCCCTTTGGGTACAGGATGGGATGGTTTGGTGCAGATTTTGGGGAGGAAATCCATCCCTGGGAGGGCAGGTTGGTGCTGAGATGGATTTCCCAGTGGAGCTGTGGCTGCTCCATCCCTTCCAACCCACCCCATCCCTTCCAATCCACCCCATCCCTGGAAGTCTCCAGTCCATGTCGGAGCAAACTGGGATCATGGAAGGTGTCCCTGCTGTGGGGTAGAACTTAATTACTCCTGGCAGCAGCTGAGGTGGAGACAGCAGAGCTGCTGGAAGGGATTGGGATGCACGGAGATGCCTGGATATCGTTCCTGGTTTAATCCCAGCACTTCCCTGGGATCTCAAGCCCTTCAGCTCAGCTGTTGCTGTGGGGTCCCTGCAGCTCCTCTGCCACAGCTGCTCTGAAATCAGGGCTTTTAAGGAGGGAAAATAAAGAATTCTGCTGTCAAGCCTCAGCTCTCACACAAACACCAGGTTTACAAGGGTAACAGTGTCACCTGCAAATCAAACCCAACGGGGCACGCCAGCAGCTCTCAGTTGTTCTGACACCACTGCTGTGCTTTGCATCTCTCCCTTTGTCAGAGGTGCAGGGTTTTTCTCTCCAAAGCGCAGACAGAGGCAGCAAAGCCTCTCCTTCCCTGCTGCCTGCCTTTGTTTGTGGAGCTGAGACTGCTGGTGTGGGTGACAGATGTACTTCTCCCCCTGCCAGCTCTTCCTCTGGATCCGGGAGCAGGAGCCTGACCTCCTTTTGTTCCCTCAGCCTTATTGCCACCTAAATCCAAGTGACAGCATCTTGGCAGTGCCCCGAGGTCAGCAGCACCCAGCGGGAGCTCTGCAGGCTTGGCAGAGCTTGAAGGCAGAGAAAATGAAGATAAAACCAAGAGTTCTGAGGGGGGAGTTGGGTTTGCAGAGGCTCCTGCATCCCACGAACCCAGCTGGGATCTGCAGATCTTGGGATTTCGGATTGTGGGGAAAGCTGGGTGTCACTTTTAATTAGGAACTTTGTGCCATTCCAAGGTTAGGGCTTGGAGCAGCCTGGCCTCGTGGGAGATGTCCCCACTCATGGCCTTTAAGGTCCCTTCCATGATTCTGTGGGTTTTCTGGGAATCAGGCTTAATGACAGAGAAATATTCCTGTCTGAGGAAGTTCTGGTGTGAAAAACTCCTTTGGTTCCTTCCCTGCCTGTCTTTAGTGCTTCCCCTGTGTCCTGAAGCATAAATATTAACAGCTCTTATTTTTGTCACCTCGTCTAACATGGCTCTGGAATTATCACAATTCCTGGAATTATTTCACGAACTTTCCCACTCCAGCAGCAGCTCCTGGTGCCGTGCCTGGATGCATTCCTTCAAAACCCAACCTGTTCTCTCACTAATCCTTTGGGTTCTGTCCTAGTTATCTCCTGTGGGGACCTGCCCACGCCTCCCAACGGGAACAAGATCGGGACCCTCACCAGCTACGGGGCCACTGCCATCTTCTCCTGCAACACTGGCTACACCCTGGTGGGCTCCCGGGTCAGGGAGTGCATGGCCAACGGGCTCTGGAGCGGGGCTGAGGTCAGGTGCCTGGGTAGGTACCCCTTGGGCAGCTCCTGGGGCACCCATGGGTGTGGGAAAGGCTCCTCGGGAGGGAACAGGGGGTTTAGGGACTGATATCCACCCTGCGGGGTTGGAAGGGGGTGTGAAAGGGAGGCAGAGTTGGATTCCTGCGTCCTCCAGAGGTGTGAGGTGTTGGGAGAGTTTTGGGGTGGGGATGTTTGTTTGGGACTGCAGAGTGTTGAGGTGACAGCCTGGAGGTGAAGGAGGATGGGTTTGGGTTGGATATTGGGGTGGATTCTTCCCTATAAACAGCATGGTTTGGATTGGCAAAAGAAGCTG